TTCAAGTATACCATTTTTCTTCTTTTCTTTTTTTTTTTGAGATACAGTCTCAACTCTATGCCCAGCTAAGTGCGTGGTGTCAGCTAGCTAGCACCACTCAAAACCCTGACTCAAGGATCTCCTGCTTCAACTTCTTTTCTATATATTCAGTTGTAACTAATTCTTTCTATTCTCCCCATTCCCCTACAAGACAGAGACCCCTCCCTCCCCTCCCCTGTCGGGGCCCCCCTGGCTTTGCCGCATGAGAACCACCACCAGATGGGAGGGGAGGGAGGCTTCTCTGCAGGCCAGGAGTGTGGGTGTCATTTCTCCCTGCACGGTCTAGGACTCCAGGGCCCTTTTCTCCCCCACCGTCATTTGTGACACAGCGTCACCCTTCGTGCATGCTTGTTTTTTAATGTCACCAACCCCCAGCTACACCCACAGCACGGTACTGGGGCCACCGAGGCAGCAGCCTGAATCTGACATTGCTTTGCTCTGAGCACCTCACAACTGAGGAACCCCCCCTGGGGCCAGGGACGTTGAGCAGAGGAGCCCATGACGGGGCAGCCCTCATGGCCTGGGGGGGGGGTGGGCGTCCGGGGCGCCTGTGTGGCCAGGCAGGGCCAACTGGGTAACCCTCTACACAGACACAAGCCCATAGACATGAGGAGTACTTAGAGACATGGGTCCGTGTGCAGATACACAAACACAAATACACACAGAACCATATATACATTTGTCTCTCTCTGTATATATATATATATATATATATATATATATATCTTCATATAAAATACACAGGCACATAAACATGAACACATGCCCGTACACAAGTACATAGAGAGGAATACGTAGGGAGATGGGTATGTGTGCAGATACACAACTGCAAATACACACAGAAACATATATGCGTTTGTCTTTCTATGTGTGTATATCTCTTCATATAAAATACACAGGCACATAAACACAAACACATGCCCATACACAAGTACATGGAGGGGAATACGTAGGGAGATGGGTACTTGTGCAGATGCACAACTGCACATACACAGAGAAATACATGTACATTTATGTATGTATATATATAGGTACATATAAAATGCATACAAACATGCACACATGCAAATGCACGTGCATGAAGGAATGCATAGGAAAATAGGCATATAGGCCGGGCACAGTGGCTCACGTCTGTAATCTTAGTACTCTGTGAGGCCAAGGCAGGAGGGTCACTCAAGGTCAGGAGTTCGAGACCAGCCTGAGCAAGAGAGAGACCCCGTCTCTACTAAAAAAATAGAAAGAAATTAGTTGGACAACTGAAAATATATAGAAAAAGGAAGGTGAAGCAGGAGGATCGCTTGAGTCCAGGAGTTTGAGGGTGCTGTGAGCTAGGCTGACACCACAGCACTCTAGCCTGGGCAATAGAGTGAGACTGTATCTCAAAAAAAAAAAAAAGAAAAAATGGGTATATGTATAGATACATAAATATTATACATACATATACATATATATCCCCCAATAAAATATATACATACATAAACACACATACAAGCACATACACAAATGCATATACATAGAAACATATATATATACATATATAAGACACATATACGAATATATATATATGCAAATGCATAGCCATATAAAAATGCATAAATAAGCCTACATACATATGCAAGTGGTATGTCTATGTGTGTATCACTCATACACGTATGAAATGCATTTGCAAATGCAAATATGTACAGAAGCACAAAATCATATAGGTATGCAAAATCAAAATGGATGCAGTTTGTATAAAGACATCCATATGCATAAATAACTATAAACACTCTGCATATGGAAATGTATAAACATGGAAAACTTGTTCTCATACAATTACAAACAGAAACATATACACTATATTTAGATATGCATGCAAACATAAGTATAGACATGCATATACAAGTGAATATACATGTATACGTGCACAGCCATGTACATACATTTATGCCATAACAAATGTATGTACAAATACATATGCATATGCAACTGTGTGAATAAAAATATATACATGCAACCATATATGTGTATAAGTGTATGTGTTTGAACAAATTGTGCATACATGCAAATACATGCACAAGTGCACACCTATATAAACACATACACAAGAGCATATGCATATATGTGCATGCACCATATACATCGAAATACAGAATTCCATATGCATGCATAACTCACATAAATACACATATCTACACAAGTACGTACACATGTGCGTGCAAATCCACACACATACTCGTAAGCACTTACGTGCAAGCAAGCTGGCCTGCTCTGAGCGTGAGCAGTGTGGCCCGGGCATGTTTCTCGGAAGAGTCTTCCTTGAGGTCAGATCCCTGGGGTGGGGACTTTTACGGGCAGGGGTGTGACGGGGCTGTGCCTGACCGGGGAGGGGCGCCTGAGACTGGGAGGCAGGGGGTGCTGAGCGCATGACGTGCTTTGCCGACGATGTTTGTAGAATCCTGTCCGGCAGGCGGGGCTGGCAGGGCCTGGGGTAAGGTCTGGCTGTGCTCGTGCTTGGTCCAGCCTTTCCCGGATGACACCTGAGGGCTGTATACGACATTTGGTGCCATGGTAACGCCCTGGGTAGCCCGTCTTGCCTTGCAGAATTGGCTTCCCGGGACGGCTTGGTGACTTAGAACGTTCTCCCAGTTCTGCGAATGTTGCTTCATTATTGTTGTTGCTTTAATCTACAATTCAAGGCATAGCGTGTTTCCCCGAAAACAAGATGGGGTTTTCTATTTTATTTTTCCTCAAGAAGACACCCTAGGGCTGATTTTCAGGGGATGTGTTATTTTTTTTTAAGTGTGAGACAACCATCTACATTGATTCAAACACAGTGAAGTCATCTTCTTCTGGAACATCATCATCACTCTCCAAACCCCGAATTCCATCCTGAATGTCTTGCGACTCTATTTCCTTTAGAACCACCAGCCCCGATCTCTCCTGTGGAGCACTAGAGCTCTCACGGGGCGGATGAGAAGGGCTGCTCGTGTTCTTTCCCGCTCCTCGACTACACACATGGGTTGTGCAGATGCGCTGCGCAGCCACGCCCGTCACTAGGGCTTATTTTCATAGCCACGCCCATCACTAGGGCTGATTTTCGGGGTGGGGCTTCTATTGCGCACACGCTTAGACATCCTGCTAAGGCTTGTTTCATGGGTAGGTCTTATTTTTGGGGGAACATGGTGGATTCTATTGCACAAAGGCTTAGAAATCTCGCTAGGGCTTGTTTCATGGGTAGGTCTCATTTTCGGGGAAACATGGTACAAGTGTGGAGACAGAGCAGGGAGGGACATTGGTGACCCCTGAGTGCCTCCCCTGCTGTACACAGGCAGGAGACCGAGGCCCAGGAGGGCTGGACGGCAGCCGGGCCCCTCCCCCTCCCCCTGGGTGCCCTGGGGCCATCCATGTCCGCGTCCCTGGAACCCCCCCTTATGTGATTTTGTCCCCCTCCCCGCCCCGCCCTGCTCTGCCTGAAACCCTCCTTCTGTTCCCAGCCGGGGTCATGATGGTGCCGGAGAGGAAGACGCAGGACGGATTCGAGGAGCATTTCGGCCTGAACTACCTGGGCCACTTCCTGCTCACCCAGCTCCTCCTGGACACCCTGAGAGCGTCCGGCCGCCCCGGCCGCAGTGCCAGGGTGGTCACTGTGTCCTCGGCCACACACTACGTCGGCGAGCTGAACATGGACGACCTGCAGAGCAGGTGGGGCGCGGCCCATGCATGTCCCTAACGGTGCCCCGGGAGCGTGGAAGGTCACCTGTCCTCCCCGCCGGGTATTGGGGGGGAGTTGGGCGGGTGAAGTGACACACATTGCCATCGACCATTTGTGTCTTGTCTTCAGGGGGCTTAGCTCTGTGCAAGGGTGTTGTTCTGTTTTCTGGAGAGACAGACAAGAAAGACGGGAGTCAGATAGAAACATCCTCCTCTGTGCCCCATTGCGAATGCCACCCAGTAAATTCAGAGTGGGCATTGCTGCCGGCTCTTGGTGACATGTGGTGCACTGTTTCCTAATCTGTGGGTCCCTGCTAACACTTGCACATTGCTTCTAACACTTCCGTAAGGATAAAAGAGATCACTCTGCATGAATCGAGTGTCTTAGTCCACTTGGGCTGCTATAACAAAACACCGTAGACTGGGTGACTTGCAGACAGCAAGATGTTTATTGATTGCTCCCAGCTCTGCAGGCTGGAAGTGCGAGATCCCGGCGTGGCAGGGGCTGTGTCTGGTGGGGACTCACCTCCTGGTTCACAGACAGCGCCTTCTCGTCGTGTCCTCACGTGGTGGAAGGGGCGAGGGAGCTCTCTGGGGTCTCTTTTATTATAAGGACACTGGTCCCATCCGTGAGGCTCCACCCTCAGGACCTCGTCACCTCCCAAAGGCCCCATCTGCTAACTCCATCTCCTTGGGGGTGAGGGTTTGGACATGCCAATGTTGGTGGGACCTATCTGTTCAGACCACAGCAGTAGGACTCGTGTCTGTGTTTCCCTGCATGCATGCAACCCGGAGTTTGCAGAGCGCTGACACTGCACTTGCAAAGACTTGCGTGGATGGATGCCTAGGGGGTGCGGGGGTCAGATCTGGGGAACAGCCTCTGGCATTTCCAGCAGAGTGGGCGCCCTTGTCACTCTCAGGTGTCACTCTCAGCCCCAGAACACGGAGGGCTGAAAACAGGTGAGCCCAGCCATGCAGGACCTTAACAGGTGAGTCTCCCCACAACAGCATGGGGCAGGCTGGAGGGACAGGAGGTCGGGCGTGCAGGTTTCTGAGGACATGTCCGTCCCTCTGCTCCTGTGTATATGAGGTCCCTGTGTAGGGCCATGTGACAAGGGTGGTGGCCTCCCAGGCATGCCCCGTGCAGGGTGAACTCGGGAAGGGGGACGTGGAAAGGGAGGAAGCACGGCCCCGAGACACCTTGATGTTGGATTTCTGACCTGCACAGCTGTCACCGCGTGCATTCCTGCGATTTCGGGCCGCCCGGTCTGCGGTCGTGGGTTCAGGCAGCCCTGGGAAAAGTGGCTCAGCCTGCAGAGAGAAGAGAGAGTCTTCGAAGTCACAGGGGGTGGAGACACCAAGGCTGTTCTCACACTTGTGACCTGCGTGGTCCTGTGCAAGTGCCTGCAGCTTTCTAAGACTTTTCTTTTTCTTTGAGTCCATTAAGATATAACATAAGGGTTATAGCCTCAGACTCCCAGATACCAGGAACCGATCAGGGGAGATGAATACATGTGAAGTGCCTGACAATTGGTGAGGTCTTCTCCGAACACCTGTCCCCTCAGGTTGCACGCATGCACGACCCTCGGCTCATTCTTCCATGACCCTCGAGGTAAAAGGAGACGCACAGTCGGCGTGGCTGCCCCAATGAAAGGCAGTGAAATAGACAGCATGTCTCTGCACGTCGGCTAGTCTGGGCGACACTCAGATGGCCCCAGAACATTAAAAACTGGAAAACAGGTTTCTCTGGGGAGACAGGTCGGCTGGAAGTTTGTTGGTCCAGAGAATCACCAGCCACCAACCCCCACAGGTGACATCAGCACCCACCTAGGCTCTAAGGCCCTTTTATGAAAGGGTTGCCGTTGCCACCGGCAGGCACAGCCAGAGGGACCCTGCCAGGTAGGCAATGAGTGGTGAATCGAAGTGTTCACATGGCAGCTTCCGAGGGAGTGGCCAGAGAAGATAAGGCAGAGTGGAGGAACGTTGCCTTGGTCACTCAAGGGGACAGGGAACAGTTTTCCTGAAGGGAAACGGGCGTTGTGATGGCGGAAAGGCCCTTGACTAATGAAAGGATAAATTTGGGGGATCAGAAATATCACCCAGGGGTGTAATAACACTGATGGACCATCCAGACCTCTAAATCCAGCCTGTAGGAGACAGAGTAATGTCTCCAGGGATGTCCCTGTCCTAATCCCATGTGGTAGACAGAATAACGTCCCCAGGGATGTCCACCTTCTAATCCCAGGTGGTAGACAGAATAATGTCCCCAGAGATGTCCATGTCCTAATCCCATATGGTAGACAGAATAATGTCCCCAGAGATGTCCATGTCCTAATCCCATGTGGTAGACAGAATAATGTCCCCAGAGATGTCCATGTCCTAATCCCACGTGGTAGACAGAATAATGTTCCCAGGGATGTCCACATCCTAATCCCATGTGGTAGACAGAATAATGTCCCCAGAGATGTCCATGTCCTAATCCCACGTGGTAGACAGAATAATGTCCCCAGGGATGTCCACATCCTAATCCCATATGGTAGACAGAATAATGTCTGCAGAGATGTCCACGTCCTAATCCCACGTGGTAGACAGAATAATGTCCCCAGAGATGTCCATCCTAATCCCATATGGTAGACAGAATAATGTCTGCAGAGATGTCCACGTCCTAATCCCACGTGGTAGACAGAATAATGTCCCCAGAGATGTCCATGTCCTAATCCCATGTGGTAGACAGAATAATGTCCCCAGAGATGTCCACGTCCTAATCCCATGTGGTAGACAGAATAATGTCCCCAGAGATGTCCACGTCCTAAGCCCATGTGGTGGACAGAATAATGTCCTCAAAGATGTCCACGTCCTAATCCCATGTGGTGGACAGAATAATGTCCTCAAAGATGTCCACGTCCTAATCCCATGTGGTGGACAGAATAATGTCCTCAAAGATGTCCACGTCCTAATCCCTTGCTATGCACTTTTACTTCCACCTAAATTCATATGCTGAAGCCCTAAGCCCCGACTTAATGGGAATAGGAGGTGACACTTTTGTGACATAATTATGTTTAGATGACATCATGAGGGTGAGGTTCTCAGGATCAGCTCAGAGTCCTTTAAAGACCAATAAGTTCGTCCCTCCCTCTCTCTCTCTCTCGGTCTCTCTGTCTGTCTCTCTCTGTCTGTCTCTCTTGGTCTCTCTCTGTCTCTCTCTCTCTCTCTCTGTCTTGATGTAAGCATGGGAGCAGAGGTGAGTGAGGGGGATTTGAAGATGCCGTACTGCTGACCTCCTGTGTGGTCATTTGTCACGGGCGCAAAAGGACTCTTGCCAAGGTCTTTGCAGAAAGCAGGGGTAGCCATACTCTGAACGTGGAGCGATATCTGCTGTAGAGAAATGGCATTTGCAAAATCGGAGCTAGCCAGAGAACAACGCCCAGTGGACTTCCATGTTGCCAGAAGTCAAATATCACTTTGGACATTGGGGGACAGTGCAGGGGGCGAGACCTGGGCTCTCAATCAGGCTGCCTGGGCTGAGGTCTGAGCCCCGCACGGCACTAGGTTGGTGTGCTAGACACTGTGTCTAATATCCTTGCGTTTCCAGTCCCCCCATTTGTGGAGCAACGCTAAGAACAGGTGCCCCTGTGTCACCATGACAGTCACCGTCAGACATTGCTTACCCTACAGCTTTGCACATTGCGCGGTAGGGCGGCTCAGTCAATGTTGGTGGTCCTCTTGCTATCGTGGCAAAATGCACGTGACATAAAGTTGAACATTGTGACCATTTCTAAGGATGCAGATGAGATGTGTGAGGTTCATGCACGTTGATTAGCCATCACCCTCCTCCCATCTCCAGAACGTAGTCCTCTTCCCCAGTGGAAACCCACGGGTTAGGGATCGTGTGCATTCGTGTTCGTAGTATTTCACCCTAAAAGGAGCAACACGCTGCCTACCTTGCTCTGTTCCATCCACCTCCCGTGGGATTCCAGGGCATTGGCAGTCAAGATAGGACCTTCCCCGGTTGTCAGCCCCGGGCAGATCGGGTTCTCGGGGCTGGCACTTTGCTTGGCTTGAGTTGAGTCACCTTTCTTCTACAGCAGGAGGTCCCGCTGTGGCTCCACGTGGCCAAAGTGACCAGGGGAGGCTCCTTCCCGCCTCTCCCGGCTCCCGGGGGCTCCAGGCGTCCCTGGGCTTGTGGCCGCAGCCTCACTCCCGCCTCTGCCTCCTCCGTCTGCCTCCACGTGGCTTCTCCTCCGAGTCTGTGTCTCCTCTGCCGTCTCTCACGAGGACGCCTGTCATTGCATTTAGGGACCTCCCTAATCCAGGATGGTCTCACCTTAACTGGATCACTTTTCTGACAAGACCCTGTTTCCAAATGAGGTCCCGTCCGCAGGTACCAGGGGCCAGGACTTGCGCCTGTCCTTTTTGGAGACGCAGTTCAACCCCTGGCCGTGTTCTCTCCCTTCCTTTTTCTCTTGCATCAGTAGTTGGATGACCTAAAATTAATACTGATGACAATCATGTATCCAAGCTGCTTCTCATTTGTGCCTGATTATTCCTCCGGGGATGACGAGCGTGCATATTGTTTACAGATGGTGTTTCTGCACTTTCTCTTACGTCTTCTTTGGGGACGGCACGGATTCCTTCCAGGTAGTCTCCCTTTCCACGGTTTCAGTCTCCCGATTGATCTCTTAAAGGGGAGAATATGAGTCTGCTTAGGCTGACATAACAAAGCCCCACAGGCGGGGCGGCTCAGACCACGGACATTTGTTCTCTCCCGTCCTGCAGGCTGGAAGTCCCTGATCCAGGTGTCTCAGGGCTGCTTCCTCCTGGGTCCTCTCTCCTGGGCGTGTAGACGCCGTCTCCTCCCTGTGTCCTCACGGGGTCGCCCCTCTGTGCCTGTCTGTGTCCTCGTCTCCTCTGCTCATAAGGACCCGGGTCCTGTTGGATCAGGGTCCACCCTAGTGCCTCAGTTTACCTTAATCACCTCTCTAAAGATCGGT